ATGGCTGGGGGTATAGCTCAGTGGTACAGCGCTTGCCTAGCAAGCACGAAGCCCTGGGTTCCATTCCAACACCACCCAAAACAGAACAAAGAAACAAATTCCTTTTTGAAACTAGTTCCAGAGAAATCTTAATCCCTTTACATGGCTCTATATATTTTCCTTCCTTGAGAGGTGGGAACTCTAGACAAAGCCACACATATTTTACTCTTTTTCCATGAAGGCCAGTTAATTAAGGAATTTATTCTGTCATCTGCTAATATCTTTAGGTGTCCTCATATTTTAAATTAAGTATTTCAGGTTTCTTATTCATTTTTTGGGGGGGATGGGGGTGTTCAAGGGGTTGAACCCAGGGGCAGTCTACCCCTGAGCTACATCCCCAGCCCATCTTAAAAATTTGAGACAGAATTTCATTAAATTGCTGAGGCTGGCCTCAAAGTTGTGATCCTCCTGCCTAAGCCTCCTGAGTTGCTGGGATTATGGGCATATGCCACTGTGCCAATTCTCATTCCTCTCTTAAAAGTGTGCAGCACAGCTTTATAACTACCGTAAGTCTTTTTGAATAATAAAAAAGAAGAGGTCATCTACTCAAATAGCCTTTCTCTGAAAACTCAATCAAAATCAATCAGCTCCCTGTCCCTAGGCCCCTGACCACTTTTTCTTATCAAAGCATTCTTCCTTCATTGCACCTAAACAATTTATAATTATTACTTTTAATTGGTTTCCTTTTGTATTTTTTTGTCTCTTCTGCCTGGGCTCCAAACTCCATGAAGACAGAATTTGTGTCTCTTTCTTAGTATGCTCTCTCTAGATGACTCCAGCATGTAATAAATGCTCCATAAAAACTTGTTGCTGGGGGCTGGGGATGTGGCTCAAGCGGTAGCGCGCTCGCCTAGCATGCGTGCGGCCTGGGTTCGATCCTCAGCACCACATACAAACAAAGACGTTGTGTCCGCCGAAAGCTAAAAAAGAAATATTAAAAAATTCTCTAAAACAACAACAACAAAAAAACCAAAAAAACTTGTTGCTGTCAAATTATCAATAAATTGTAACTATCCTAGCATTATCAATCATTAAAAGTCTTATAGCATTGTATTTCAAACTTCCAGCATTAACTTTTTTGTGAATTAAACTTTCAGCATTAACTCATTGGGGAATTAAACTAGTACATGATAATGTGCATAATAATTCTTTGGCTCATTTGAAAGGTTTGCAATTTAGGTTTTTGTGAATAGTCCTAGGTGTTTTGCAAAAAGTAATAATTTAGATGAAAAGGGGATATTGCAGAATTAAAAGAACCATCAGGATTCACAACCTAGTAAACTAATAATGAATGAGTACAGGTGATGCAGATAACATGGTCATCCACAGCACAATGCTTCCATCAAAAGTCACAGAAAAAGATAAGAAGATAGTTAAGATGAAATGGGAAATAAGAATTTAGACCCAGAAATATTCATTTCTTCCTTCTATGGGCAAGGCCTTCCTAGTCTTGCTTTTCTCCTCCTCCAAATTGCCCTGTTTTGTTCTTTCACTTCCTTAAATTGTCAGATCTCCTTAGTCTCTTCTAATCTGTGACAATTTCTGTTTTTCCTTTTCCTCATGGCCTTGAGCTATTTGAAGATTTATTGTCGGATATTTTGTAGAATGTCTCCAAATTTGGGTGTGTCCAGTATTTTCTAATGAAAGATTGAGGTTACAAATTTTGTGGAAGAATACAAAGGAAGTGATACGCCCTTTTTGTCACATCATATCAGAGTACATGACATCTATATGAGTTATTATCAGGGATCTTTAACCTTCGTTGTTTGGTTATGGTGATGTATGGTCATCAGTTTTCCATTACTGTAACAAAACATTTGCGATAATTGGCTTAAAAAGAGGAAGGGTTTATTTTGGCCTGTGGTTTTAGAAGTTTCAGTCCATGGTGAGTTATCCCATTGTTTCTGGGCCTGCATCCAGGCAGCACATCACAGTGGAAGCATGTATCAGAGGAAGCTACTTACCTCATAGCCAGGATGCCAAAGAAAGAACAGAAGAGACTGAGGTCCCACAGTCTTCTTTGGGGGCACACCCTTAATTATGTAAGGGCTCCCATTAGGCCTCATATTCACCACCTCCCACAGCTCAGAGGCTGAGCACCAAGCCTCCAACGCACGGTCTTTACGGGTTAGGATCCATAGTGTAGTAGGTGATGTTGGCCAGCCTTCTCTACTATAAAGGTTTTTCCCCTTTCTTTCTATACCTTGTTTGATGTGTGTGAAATGTTTTTTAAACTCAAGGGTTTAAAAGTTGTTTTATTTAGTTTCCAAACTTATGGGATTCTGGAAGTTATCCTTTTGTTAAAATTTTGAATTTTATTGAATAATGCCAAAGTACATTGTTTGTATGTTACCGATCATTTGGAATTCATTGAAGTTTCTTTGTGGCCTAATTCATGATCTATTTTTGTAAATACTTCAAGTGTGCTGCTTGAACAAAAAATCTGTTTTTGTCCATAGCTTAATTTCCACATCTATGAAATAGGAAGAACCAAAAATATCCAACTCCTTTTATTTTTGGAAGGTTGCAAAACCAAGGATCCAATTGAAAGAGAAAAAACATTACATTTGTTCTTTTTGACTCTCTTGAGAACTCACAATGGGTATATCTTGACACAAATAAACATAATAGAAGTGTAAAAGGAAGTATCTGTCCTTCCTGAAAGTGGGTTCATTACCGTTGGATAACAGGTGCTTAATCCTCTATGGGGGCTCAGTTACAGCCTACAGAGAGGAACTGGCCAGAGTGGGGAAGTAACCACCTGTGAGAGTGAGCCTGGTCTGTGGTTTCTCAGAGACCCACTAGCCGTGGATATTTATATAAACAAGCTGAACCTTTGGTGTGTTGCTGAGAAGGATAACAATGTGCTGAGGTGGAGTGGGGTCCTTCAGCAGGCTGGTGGGTAGCAGTTGGACAGTCACTCAGAGTGCCAGGCTAGTTGCTTAGGAGGTAGTGTGGACACACATCCACAGGAGAGGAATTTGATGGTCAAGGGCTTCTTCTTAGGGATTTAATTTAGAGTCAAATGACTAGCCCTTACCATAAGGATGCCATGCCCCCAAACTATAGCCTAACTCTTTTATTCTCTCTTGCCCTTTTTTCTTTTCTTCCATAAACCCTCGTGGACCTTACTGTTTTCTCCCCACCCTCTCCTGGACATGACCATCAGTGCTCACTTCCTAGTTCCAAGGAGATCTTGAGCTTTGCCAAATGCCATGAGTCACCAAGACATATTTAAAACTTCACAAGGGTATTTATTATGCTATTTTTTTCAACTTTTCTATTTGTTTGAAAACTGCCAAAGTTTACACTTGGAAAAAATACATTTGTTTTTCCATTACAAAAAGTTAGTAATCCTTAGCTATTGGTAATCATGCAAGAGGTCTCTATTGTATCTGGATGAAGACCGAGAATGTTGCTAACACCTGTTCACATATAGAAAAGGAAAGGACAACAATTGAGAACAACAGGATTATCTGCAAATTATATTTTTGGCTCTTATTAGAAAAATAGACTCTGCACTATACAGGGCTGTGTGTGTACTAGAAAGAGCCCGAAATCAGAGTGATGTGATTAGAATTCAGATTTTGCTTTATATTGGCTGTGAGATATTGGCTGAGACAACTGATTATTTCTGATTCCAGTCTGTACATAGAATACTTGCTGCCTTTGTAAAAATATTGTCACATTGTATACTATAGTAACACTGTAAACTGAATACAATTATTAGAAGGTTTCAAAGAGGGAGGTTTAGAATTGTTCTCCACTGATTTGCTCACACAGATATTGTCATCTTCCACCAGAGGTGTTGGTTGTGAAAAATGTGTGTAAAAAGAACCTTTGCAATTTTTTTTTTCTGTTATTGTCAACCAATTTTTAGCAGAACGTGACTTTCTGTATATATCATCCAATTGATTTTGAAATGAATGAATTTATTGATCGGCCATCTCATTTCATAAAGGAATCTGAGGAAGAAAACTTGAATTGACATTCTCGTATCTCTTTATATTTGGGTCATGCATGTTGTCTTGCTTTCCAGATTAAAAATGTGCTGAATGCAGATTGGTCCTCAGCATCAACCTCTCCTCATTTTAGTACACCTCTCTGTTTCCAAGATGGAAAGCATTTGCCCTAGACATCCTTGCCGCTTTTGTTCTCCCTGTGAATTGGCCTCACCAACTGCTTACAGCTGCAGGTGCTGTTCTGATGCTGCTGGAAAATACATAAAACAATCGAAAGAGCATATTTTTCTGCACCGGTGGTCCAGTGCTCATTTAATTGCTCAGTCACTGTTGAGGGAGGTTGGAGACGAGGAAGAGGAATAACAACTTCCAGAGTCCATCTTCTGACTGCGGCCAAGAGCTGGTTTGGCAGTGTTGTCTGCAGAGTCATCCTTCGATCCTCAGCCCTCCGCCAGCCTTTCCAGTGATTCTGAGCATCTCCCATTCCTTCTAGGTCTAGAGTATCCAGCTGATTGCTGCCACGGAATCCATCTGACTTGTCCGCTCTGTGGCCCAAAAACCCTGTTGAGGTCAAGAAATGACCTTGCATGTTAGAGGTGGGGAACAGATTCTAAATGCATAAGTAAAAAAAAGTTTTAATAAAGCAATTATATGTGTTATAGGTAATAATAAAGCTGGAAAGGACCCGAGCATAGATAAATGTGGCTGTGTTGACGTTTTAAACACAGTAGTCAGGGAAGACTTTGCTGCTAAAGTGACTTTTGACCTGCCTCTCATGGCAATTGTGTGCAAGGCCCGGGTGGAGTTAACTGTGTTAAGATGCAATGACCCATTTACTCCTAGGTTATCTAAGTTGTTTTCCATTTTCAGGCGGGCGTATTGTTTACCCACAGCAAACATGGCAGGAAAAACTTCAAACTGACCCTGGAGCCCTCAAAAATGATGGCCACAGCACTTCCTGTGCTTGCCCTCAACAAAGATGGCGGCAATACTTCCTGTTTAGGGATTTCGCCTTCAACAAAGATGGTGCTTATGGTACAGGTTTCCTAACAGTCTGGATTCCGGTTGTAGTTTTTTTTTTAAGCTACGTGTTTGCAGACGTAAGTAACAGGAATCCATTTTTTTTTTTTTTTTTAAATTTCTCGAATGCCCCGCGCTGTGGCTTTTGGGCCCTGGGTGGCTCTCTCGCCTTCTTAACTTGTTCTGGTTTCTGAGCCGGGCCAGGGTTGGGGTGGCGGTGCCGGGTCCCGTTCTCCCCTCGGTCCGCTGTGAAGATCCTTCCGCGGTTCAAGTTGCCCCGAAAAATCTCTCACAGTTCGTTTTGTGTGTGACACAATAATAAAGATTTCAGTTGCCGAGGCCGGGAGTTTTTTTTTTTTTTTTTAAGTTCCAAATGAGCGCTCGAAGGCAAATACGGACCCGCTCCTCCTCCTCACCTGCCCGCCCCCGCCCCGGGGAGCTGAGGAGCGCGGGGCCGGCGCTGGGAGCCCCGTCCGCCCCCTCCGCGCCACACAGGCTACATCGCCACCGCCCAGCCGCCTCAGTCGCTAGCGACCGTCAAAACCTGGGTGGCTTCTGCCCAGTGTCGGCGTGTGGCCTTTTAAAAATTATTATTATTAAGGAGAATAACTCACTAAATGCCCCGTGCGTGTGTGGCCAGGGCAGTGCTGTGATGGAGATTCGGACTGCATAAGGTTTATTGTATACTGGACACATGCAATAAATATATTGCTTGTAAGTGACGATGGTGTAAAGGCCTTTTCTCTTAGTGAAAAAGATCCTTAAACTCATTGGTACCTCTGGTTTCTGTCCTCCACTCCCGTTGCTTGTCAGGTTCTGCAGATGCCCGTGGTCATTTTTGGAAATTTGCAGTGATGGTGGCGGGCAATCTCTGATGAAGGCACTGTTAGGAGAAAAGCACCGTTTCTTCTCTAAAATGTGTTAAAATAAAATGCCGCTCTGTAATCCTTGCATACACATTTTTTAAGACTTTTTAAGCAAAGTCTCTGGCCTGCTTTTTGGTCAGATCTCTTTATGGAAAGAGGACCTCATTATGTAAAAAGCAGAAACAGAAAAGATGATTCATCTCCACTGTTGTTCCCTGCTTTGGGACGCATCTGAAGTTAACTTGGCTTGTTTTAACAGCCTTGTAGTAAACACCATGGCCTGATATTCAGCATGCTAAGTTTCAAAAATCGGTCAGTTGTTAACACTGCAGCAACTACCTCTAGGGGTGCATCAGCATTCCTATAATCTGAGCCATGGTTTTGTCTCTTTCCAGGGGGAAATGGAGGCCAGAGACAAGCAAGTGCTCCGCTCTCTCCGCCTGGAGCTGGGTGCAGAGGTACTGGTGGAGGGACTGGTTCTTCAGTACCTTTACCAGGAAGGAATCTTGACAGAAAACCATGTCCAAGAAATCAAAGCTCAAGCCACAGGCCTCCGGAAAACAATGCTGCTGCTGGATATCCTCCCCTCTAGGGGTCCAAAAGCATTTGATACCTTCCTAGATTCCCTGCAGGAGTTTCCCTGGGTGAAGGAGAAGCTGGAGAAGGCAAGAGAAGAAGCTGTCATTGAGCTGCCTGCAGGTAGGCCTCCAAAGGATCACTTCAAACCAGCTCCGAAATTGTTGGCACTTACACCTTTTGGATTGGAAATTAATGTGGGCAGGGGTCAGTGGTTCATGCAAGTGAGTAAAGAGTTTGGAAGGAATAGGGTGAGGAGGTGGCAACGTAGGAGAGGAAGAATGGACCATGACTGAGAGGTTGTGGAGGGAGCTCAGAGTCCATTTAGAAATGCTTCCAGGGAAACTTGGCAAGTCACTTGGGAGGCATGTTCTCATCAGAGAGCCAGGTCATATCTCAGCCCTTGGCATCAGGAGCCATTTGGAAAGTGCAGATGGGAAAGCAGGCTTTGGCCTGCTGATAACTGATTTGGGGGTGCCAGAGCTGCCAGCTGGAAAAGGTCAGATTCATGGAGGAGGAGACAGCCTCTAGGAAGGCATGCCCTGCACCTGTCCCCTGGGCTGTCCTACAAGGCCAAAGGGGATTGTTTTGAAGACTGACTGACTTTGTTTTTAAAGGCTATTGGTTTAAAGTGTCCTTTTTGGTTTGTCTCTGTTCACATATCTGTAGTATTTAATTTGGTAAGGGCAATACTTTGGGGAGGGTCTCATTTTGATTTTAAGAATTGAAAGCAGTAGAAAAGAAAAAGTTCTGGTGCTGTTGGCCTAGCTTGTGGCAGGAAGATGCGGTATGAAACATTTGTTCCTTTTTAACAGCTCTCATCACCCCTACCTTTTACAAAGATCGAGGAACAGAGAAATGAACAATTAAAAATGATAATTTTTTTTTTCAATACTGGGGATTGAACCCAGGACCTTGTATATGCCAGGTGCACACTCTACCATGGAAGTACATCCTCAGCCCAGGCTGGCCCCCTGAGCTTGTGATCCTCCTGCTATTAGTCTCTTGGTAGCTGGGATTGCAGGCATGTGGCAAAAAAGAATAAAATTTTAGAAGAGAATTGAAAGTTGACTTGCAGATTTTTAACAGAAAATTAAGTGAATCTGAAGAAATGAAAATGGGAATTATGCTTCTACTCATGATGTACAGCAGTACAAAATGATCTTTTTTGTATTAAGTATTTTGATAGTGAAAGGCTTTCGGTTTGCCAGTTTTGTTGTTTCCTACTATGTGCTGCCAGGAGGAACCTCTAAGTCAAATACCAGGAAAGCACCAATAATTTTTTAACATCTTCCCAATCCTACATTTATGTTTTGCTTTCACTAAATGTAGAGATGTCTTAGATACTTGGCTTGGTTTTAATTTTGTAAGGACAATCCAAACTGAGTTACAGATTTTCTTAGCAGAGCTAATATATCAGCATCCTCTGGAGTTTCTGACACAGTGATTATTAAAACTACTCAAAGTCAGTGGTCCCTAGACTTTGTTGTTGCTGGTTTTTAAATAGGAGTATAGCTAGTTTAAAAATATGCTACTAATACGAGACCACTTTTATTGCTTTTATTTTTATTACGTCATCTTTTGAATGATTTTTTTTCAGATCACATGGTATTAAATAATCATAATTCTTCTTTTTTCATTAATGACGTATGTCTGAATCTTTGACCAGCATGAGATAATCAGTTAGGAAGACCGATAAAAATCTCAGTGGAAAAAACAAAAATATTTTTATTCCTAGCTTGACTAAATTACATGTAAATGTATGGTTTAGGCTTTTTGAAATACTGAAAATGGCTGGCCTTGGAGGACCACGGATGTTCTTAGCATGGACTGTGCTTACAAAATTAAATGCTCTAGCTGTCTGAACATATCCAAGCTAATGTATCTTAAGATGTTTCTACTAATTTACTGAAAGCAGAACACATAACTCAGGATTGGGGAGATGTTAAAAAATTATTGGTGCTTTCCTGGTATTTGACTTAGAGGTTCCTCCTGGCAGCACATAGTTGGAAACAACAAACCAGGGGAATCGAAAGCCTTTCACTATCAAAACATTTAATTATATGATCATTATAGGTGATGTAAATAGTATTGCTGCACCTCTTTTGTGGAAGTGTGACCCCCATTTCCTCAGATTCATTCAGACAGCAAGAAGCAGTTAAGACAGTTTCTACTACATGAAAGTTACAGAGAAACTGAGGGAAAAATAGGTTTTTGAAAGCAAGCAGAATGAAGCAGTATATAGTGGAGAAAAACTGTGCATATATGTGTGTTGAAGTTTAGAAATATAAGGTTTTCCTCAAAGTTTGTTAATTTTGTAGAAGGGGTCAAATGGAGAGATAGTGTGGCTTAGAAAGAAACAGTATTTGTAATTGTTTTCCTTTTTATTGAGTAACACTGCTATTGAAAAAAGTATTCTGAAGCAGAGGTTTGATTTATGTATGTCTCTGTATACCTTCCACCATAACAATTACATACATTCATTTTTTAGATAGGTGTTTTTATTAAATGTTGACTATTTAAAATAATATTATAAAATATAAGTAATATTTGAAGAATAAGGTAAAGTAAACATCTGTCTTCTCATCACTCAGTTTAAGAAAAATATGACAATTGTTTTGAGAATCCCTGGTGCTCCTTTCCAGTCCCCTCCTTCTTAACCCTCACTCACTGGTAGACCCTGAATTTGGAGTTTGTTGTTCATTCTCTTCCTCACTTTGTAGTTTCCATATCATGGAAATCACTTTTAAAATCTGCAAGTCGTTGAAGAATATAGTATGTATGGGTTCTAGTGGTAAATGTGTGGATATGTATATGTGGATATTTAATGTGTAGGAGGGAAGGGATGGAACCAAATGATATATTTTAAAGGAGTTGACAGTTAATAACCTTCTTGCTTAAGACATTAAAGTAATTAATTTCATAGCAATATTTTAAATCTTAAATTAAGTTGGAATTTAATGAATTGGAAACCTAGGGAGTTTTTTTGTTTGTTTGTTTTTTATTGCTTTTTTTTTTGTTTTTAAATTCTGGATGACTATCAGAGGTATAATTCCTTCCAATTTAATGTCTCCGGAAAAAAGCAGGTAAACCCAGAAGGCTATTTCCTAGGACCTCAGGGCTTCTCCAGCATTGTAACAGAGAGTTTTAACAAGCTTTGCAGTAGGCCACTTACATTGTTGTAGTGGCATCTTTGATCTTTGAGGAACTGGACTGTGGGAAAATGTGGTGCTTCTGTCTGAATGTATATGATTCACCGCCTCTTACTTTTCACTCATTTTGGTTGCAATCATTAATTTGTTTGTATGGATTTCTTGGCCTTCTCTTCAGAGGCCTTGAGAACCTGAGAAGGAGTGGCCTTCTCTCTAGGCAAGAGATTGATCCTCTTTAAGAATGAACTGATTTTAAGTTTTCTTGTTGTGTTTTTCTAGCAGATTCTTGGTTTTCCCTTTGTTTATTTAATTTTTATTTTTCATTTATCAATTTTGAACTATCTCAGACTTTTTTTTTTTTGGTGGGGGGGGGGAGGTAATCCTGGTTAGTTGCTTATTTGTGTGCTGGATATAGTTCTTTAGTGAATTGTATCTTGTTCTCCTTTTATTCTTCCACACCACCCCCACAACACACACCCAGGAAATCCTAAAACATAAAAGCAAACAAACAAAAAACTAAAACCTTTGATTTTTTTTCAGAATCTGCCTAGGTCTCCCAATCTCTGTTTTTTAAAAAAAAAAAAAAAAACCGGCTAAGACATAAATGGATGACTTTTTTTTTTTTTTTAAACCCTATAAGGATTCTTACCTTTTAAAAGGGAAATTCTGACGATAAAATGACTTAATCTGTGTTGACACTGTGGAAGGAACACTTTACAGCATGTCCCTCTCTGGCCAAGGTCACATACTAGATATTAGATCAGCTGGACATCCTTTCTGGACTCCTGTCCTATCATTTTAGGAGATGGGGACAGTGTGGTATGTGAGTGTGAGCAGCCTGTGCCAGCCTGGCTTCCCACTCCCTGTGGGTCCTGCCTGCCCTGACCACTCACTCCAGTGCCTGGGCTCATCTGAATCTGGAAAGGTTTATCCGCAACTCCAGCCGCACTGTCTGGTGAGACTTGGCCTCACGGCAGAGCGGCCTCTGGGCCATGGGGCCTGTTTTCCCTAGGTTGGCCCTGGCTGTGGGACTAGGTCTCTGCCAAGATTTTCACTTACCAGTCTGCCTAGTAACCCTGCCTTTTACCCCAGTCTTCCTTTAGACTTGGGAGTTTTGTTTTTTAGTTTTTCTCTCCTCCCTCTCTTGATTCTTGCTTTATGTATTCTTAGCCACTGTCAAGAGTGAAGGACAGATCTCTGGGACACAGTTCAGCGCCTCCTGTAATGAGCACCAGACACCTCAGCTCTTGAGCCTGCTGGAGTGGCTGTCCTGAGACTGTCACTTGTTCAGCAGGTTTTCCCCAAGGACCCTATGCCCCAGACTGCCTGGCTGTCCTCACTGGCACGGTGTTCAGGGCTCTGGCTGGTCTCTTTTCCTCCTGCCTATGGCTCCAGGGCTCAGCTTGTCCCTTGTGGAACTGTTCTTGAATAGTCATGCTGAGCCACCTCAGCTGCCACCTGAGATGCACTCTGGCTCTGAGGGTATACACTTGGAGGCATCAGCAGTTACTAAGCGCTCGTGGCAGACTTATAGACATTGTAATAGGCTCATTAGAGAAATTTCTAGCTAGGGATTCTTCTTGTAGGATCCTGCAGTCATGCCGCATAACTGAGCCTGCTCTGCATAATTTCTGTATTGATCTCAGTTTATCTCCCTGTGGGCTGTCCACGCTCTTCACTGTGGCTGAGTAGTGCTCACCTGTGGCATCGTGTGTGTGAAGGGAGAACACCTGATCAGTTTCTACCATGTGCTAGATGTCCGGTGCCAATGGTATAGCAGTAACCAAAACAAAGTCCCTGCTCTCCTGGAGCTCTGTGGTTCTGGGGGGAGAGGGTAAAGAACTGGGGACAAACCATAAGCAAATGAATAAATAACCTATCTGGTGGTGATGAATGCTGTGAAGAGTGTGTGTGGGAGTGAGGGTGGCCAGGGAAGCCTCTCTGATGTGGGGACACTGGATGGAGACCTGA